TGTATACAAAGAGAACGTTTCCGGGCCTCGACCCACTTGTTGTCGATCATGTGCTTCGCGTGGGCATCAATGACCTTCTCGACCGCCTGGACCAAAGATGACCAAAGAGCAGTCGAAGACTCATGTCTCTGGCAAACGAAAGACGGTGGATATCGGTTGCCCACATACCCAACTCCCTCCCTGAGAAAGCGACACATGTTCTTTTTTTGGCAGGTGGAGGTGAGATTGGGGGTGTTTGGGTGGCTGCAACATCGCATCCGGGCTTCTTGACATTTCTTGAATCTTTCCGTTATGCCCAACGAGAAGTTCGGCATCTTCCCTCCCGAAAGGCCCAACGGAGTCCCTGTCGGCCTCGGTGTCGGAGAACTTCACAAACGCAAAGCCTCGGGAGGTGCCATCAGGCAAGCGTTTGATGTCCACTTGCTCCACCTGGACGCGGTGGACGCGTGCGCATGACGGGTGTGATGATCGGTGACCGGATATGAGCCTATCCAGTTTTTCATTCTTTTTTTTGGGGGGGTTTGATATGAAAGGAGTCGAGATGACCTGGCGATGACCTGGCCGATCGAGAAACTTGGAAGATTGAGCATTTCTGGGACCTGGTGAGGACATGCGAGGACCCAAATGATGAGATCTGCTGCCTGATGGAGGTACCTGGGACAAATCCTGACCAAGTCAGGAATTCCAAAACCAGAAATGGATTTATATTATATTTTCGCTATTTTGCCATGTTGAAAGGATTACTATACTATGGATTACTTGTGTGAATGAGATCTCAGAATATCTTAGGCAAGATCAGTCAAGTATATCCCAACCATTCCAATCAATTCCAACACTTTGACTGTAGCCCTACCACTGCCCAGCCCATGCCTGCCCAAACTTGGCAAAGTGCGCAGTGACCTGACCGTGCGTTTTCCCCAAGCGACGTGCGCAGTTTTCCGTGCGGAAATCCAGGTGGCGGTTCCGCTCCACCCGACCCGTGGGGTGACCAGTGGAACAGCGAATCCCTTCCTCGTCGCCTTCCGGTGACCATCGGACACATGGGGCTCACGGCTCGGTAGCCCTTCGCGTCCTGGTGGCCCGAACTTCTGCGTTTGGGGGGCCCACACTCACACGATGAAGGCCCCAAATGGCCTGTCACCGAATCCGGTTGAGTCTCCAAGAATCGACTCGGTTTTTTGCCTGGAAGCCATGTACGCTCCAAATCAGCATGTTTATGTGGATGGCACCGGTTTGGTGGATCTCACCATCCGAACTTGGGGCCATGCCATCCACGGCCAGGCCCATATGATCATTCCACAACATGTATGCTGCCGATGTTGGGAGTGTTTCACTTGGCCCCACCACTTGAACAACCCAGCCATTCCCGATCTCAAAGGTCCCCACGGTGGGGACCTGCAAACTATGGCACCTTCTCCTCGCTCAAAACTACAGGAACCTCTCCAAGCCATGGGAGATGACCCCCGCAGATCTGTCAGATCGCTGCACAGATCTGTCAGCCGAGGTGCTCGATCCTCCTCGGTGGTCTTTCGCAAACCGCCCACGAAGATCACATTGGCGTTGTCCTTCGGCTTCTTCTTTGCCTGCCAGCCAGCTGATTTAGTTGGACCCCTATATAAGGTGAAGGGTTTTCTTTCCCAAGCCTGTGCATTGTGCCAGTTGCTGAACAAATACGTAATCTGATTGAAGCGCGCAGGGGGTGCATAGCGTTCGCTTCTCATCACTCCACACGGGTTCAGTACAAGTGGCACTGAGACTTGGAGCGTCTGCTGTTCGCTTCATAACGCCTTAAGGTGGCACTATTTGTGTTCACGTGCTCACAGTCAGACTTCTCACACGTGCTGTTCACTGACAGAATGTCCGTCACCACCGAACGCACCCGTGATGCCGTGATGCTTCACCGAATTGAAGTGCTAGGACACCAACATGTTCAAACGGACTGGCGGGGCTCCGGAGATTTTGATCGATGCCATACAGCCTGATCTGTACCTGATCTGCATGAGGATGACCGACAGTGGACTTCATTCGCTTTTGGACTTCCTGGCGCTCACACAGTGAGCCACTCTTTCGATGCCCCCCGTCAGGCCCGTCAGGGCTCCGGGCAGCTTTCTCACCCTTCTCGGCTTTACTCTTCTTGGTTGAGCCGCCCATCATCCTCAGGATGAAGAAAGTGCCCCCCCACTGCCCAAGTCCAGAAATTGAAACAGGCGAACCCCTTTTTGGTAGAGATACTTGCTCACGGCGTGGTGCAAGTGCGACAAAACACCACACCCATGCGACTCGTGTGACTTGTGACAAAATGGTTGGGGGCCCAGCGTGAAGTGCTCCGTTTCAAACCATTTGCTCTCATGGCCCCGAGTTGGTGCCCCCATGAACCACTTGCAGCTAAAGCTCTGGTTCATCATCTCTTGCATCTTTTTCCTCAGCGGAACCACCGGTCGCGCCGGGACCGTCCTCGCGGCCGTCCCGGGACCGGCGCTTCCCGCTACATGACCCTTGTGGATCCATTTCGGCTTTTCCCCAGCCAGCGAGAACTGTTGGTGTTCTTACTTCAAGTATAGGAAGAGGTGCGCACTGGTGGTGCGCTTTGGAGCTTGGCAAGTAGAATTGACACATTATCAAGCACGCTTTCTTCAGGGTGGGGCACATTGGCGCCCTGCTTACCGCAAAGCATGGTCCTGGAACATGTCCAGGTTGGAGCTGGGGATTTTCCCAAAAAGCACCATCCCTAAACCATGAAACACCCAAAGGCCTGCTTCTTCTCCAAGATCCGAGTCTTTTTCCCTACATGTCAGTTGTGACCACCTAATTCCAACAAAACCCGTTGCCATTTGGCGCCATGCTGCATGTCGCCACCGCCCATCATCATATTCTGCATCATCTGCTGCCTAGGATAGGTAGGATGACAAATATGCTGTGACCAGCTTCACCGGAATCTTATGTGGAAATGATGACTGTGCCACGAGCAGGGTGGGCGTGTATGAATGACTGCTTGGCAGGTGAGTGTTCCATGGTTTGTCCTCTCAGCACCCCACTCCGCCCACTCCACACAAATAGCAACAGGTGCTGGGAACAACTGCTTCAGTCACTGGAGGATGGTGAAAAGCGGAAGCGCTACGTGCGGTACTGCTCGCCCGACCCTCTGGAAGATTGGTTGTGTCAAATCCTAAGGATTGAAAAACTCACTCTCGACTCTGGCTTGCAAAGAAGCGACTGCATCATCATTTGCTGTTGCATCATCCTTGGCAAGGGCGCTCAACCAAAGTCTGAAGTGAACACAGTTCTTCAATGACCCTGTGCAGGTGTCAATGGCAAACAATTAGCAGTGGCATTACATAATATCCATAAATACATATAATTATATACATATACACAGTATACACACAGTTTTTACATATATATATATATTATATATAGATACATATGACAGATACTCATCTGTCATTCATCCATTAAAATCAAAACAAGAATAGAACAAAGGAACACACGGCCTAGCATCAAAGAAACTGTGTTCACCCAAAGCCTGCGAGAATGCACAGATTGGACAAAAACATGAATACAGTAGAGGAATTTTGCTCAACCACTGTCACCCACCTCGCATTCGAGCAATCATCCCTTGAATTGCTGAACCTCTTGTGATCATGGCCAGCTAAAACTCCCTGTGCCACATCTAGTTACCACCCCTTCTTCTGTCCCACAGCCCCAAAAAACACATGGCCAAGCTTCGGCATAGCGCCGCAGCCGCCCATTCCGCCACAGCCGCCCATGCCGCCGCCCATTCCGCCGCAGCCGCCACAGCCCATCGGCCTGGGGCAGCCCATGCCTGCGCAGCTCTGGGCTATGTGGAAAAATCCCTGGCTCATGGCATGGCCAATCGTGACAGAATCGTGTCACGCTCCAGTACATTTGAAAAAGCACCTGGCCTGGTTCCGCTTTGTGAGAATTGGCAGAACATCTGCCACAACTCTCTTCCTATGACTTCCTAAGCTCAGCCTCCTTCTTTCCCACATCCTTCAGCCGAACGTACGCCGCACGCGCCGGCCATGTGGTCTCTTTTCTGCGCGTTCGTTCCACCGCAGAAAAGGCATTCACAGGCAGCTCGGTGTAGCATCGAACTAGCCATGACAGGCCGCAACCTTTTGGAACTACTGAAGGAACAAAAACGGTCGCTGGGGTGAGGAACCCCGCAGTATTGGCGTCGCTTTGCTGGTCGTTTCGCTCGTACATGTTTTCCATTGCACGAACCTCCAAATCTTGCTTCGTACGTGCATATCTTGCATATTACCCGAGCTGGTTTTGAGGGTCTGCAGTAAACATAAAAGAACCCACAGCCTTTGCCACACAACGGTGCCCCTTCCCCAGCAGGCATGGACATGATCCTATATATATATGTGGATATTATATATATGTGGACCGTACAGTATTATATATATTATGTACTTGAGGCCAAGGGGGGGG